GGCGCAGATCAAAGTTGAAAGCTTCTTAAAAGATACACAAACCACAATGTGACAAATAGCATGCTTTGTTTGACACAGCAAACAAGAAATTACTTTCATCAACCCAGGAAAAGAATCCTGTGTTTTCAGTGCTAATTCTGAAGACTGCAGTGATGGAACCAGAGCTTTACTTCATCCCCAAGGAATGAGGACCTCTCCAAAGACAAACAGAAAGGAAGGAACAATATCAGTGCATTAAATGCTGACAGTGGTACGAATTGGAGGCTTGTACTCCATGGTACACATTTGCAAAAAAATTCACCCTTTACACAATTAAATGGATTTCCCACAAAGTGAAAAATGCCTCCACTGAACAAATATTAATCTGACCGGAAATTATGGATTAAAACATAGACAGCACTTCACAGATAGATCCAAAACTAAACATTCCTACATCTATCACATTACACAGCCTAGTACCACACATGGTTAATGCACAGGCATCAGAAATATTGCAAACAAGATGCTTTGTTCTTTTTACAGTAACATTACCTAAATAATTGCTGACGCATTCTTATAAAATATTTGAAAGTTTCTACAAATATAAGGCACTTCATATCTGTAAATCCTTACTACATTTGCACAAATTGAGTAAAAAAAATTTCACTATGACATATGCTAATAAAAATCAATGGTCATATATGAAATCACATTCAGTTTGGAGTCTAATTTGATCCAAAAATGTATATATACAAATTTCCCCTTAAATTAAATTTTTTCTCCCAGAGAAGGAAATAATACTTACTTAACAGAACAGATTTTTAATTCGACTATGAACAAATGACAGCCTTTTTACTAACTTGAAAGGGCTTTAAATGAGACCTAGTAACACCTCTACTATCCTTACAAAATAAAATTGTGCAGCTTTCCTACTGACTTGGAAGAATGTGCCTGGAAGTTAACAGAAGTTCACAGAAAATGTAAACAGTAAACAAAGAGCACAACAATGAAAAATACAGAGTATGCCTGTGTACACCTACAAATAACTAAATAAACACTGAATATATGTGAACAAATAGTAAACAAGGTAAAACATTTTTAAACTCTGAGAAGAAAGAGCAGACACTGTACTTTGATAATTAAGGATGTCTGATTCAGTTCTCTTAAAATAACCTTTAACAGGGCAACTACAAAGCTCTGTGACACGGTGTTCCTTGCTGAGTCAAAGGCAGGGTTCACATGTGCAGATTTGCCAAAACCTGCCCTCCTCAGTCAGCAGAAGTATTTCAAACTGGAATTCCTTGTTAATGCACTCAGATTCAGCTCTCATTCTTTATGACAACAGCGCACTTGATTCTCAGATGAAAAATTGGCTTGTAAAATTTTGGTAGCATAAATGTCCTGATTTCCAGTGGGGAAAAAAAATCTGTATGTTTACGTGTGCAAAGGTTTACCCATCCTATTCGCTGTCCCTGGAGCCTGGTTTGGAGGCAGTGACATAACCCAACATCACTGTAACTAGTACATAACAACCCTTTCAGGGAGAAGCTTAAGACAGGTACTGAGCTCATCAAGCTCATTTACCACACAGGCTTTACTTGTTGTGCCAAGACACACTTTTATAACACATTCTTTTAAAAAACACCATTCAAACACTGATCAATTTGAAGTAGCCTACACAAAAGTACTGCATTCCTTTCAAGTGTTTTAGCATTTTTATTACACTCCTCTAAACATGACTAAGTGTAAAAACATATTACAGACAGTGTTTCATAATATAAAGATACAATATCAGTGAAGCTCATTTCAGTTGCTGTGCTAAAAAGTTCACTTCAAACCTTTGAACTAGAATTACTGTTTCTGTATCAGATTTATTCCACAGACACAATTTAATAGCTCTTCCTGAAGAGTTGCTCTCCTGCCATTGATGACAGCAGGCCACCTGCCTCTGTTAATTAGCAATACCACGTCCTGTTGCAGCCCTATAACAAGAAAACAGATTGGCTCTTCGGCTGGAGCATTTTGTTCTGGAAGACCAGAAGCTGTTGAATCTATGTCTTGTTCCTTCAAAAAGGCTTTAAAACTTACTACACCCATGGTACCTCCGCTGAATGCTGCTATTCTGTGACCAAAATTCTCATTGTTTCTAAGTCTTCTTAAAAAAGGATTCTGTAAAAGTCAATCATTCTAGACAGTTCCATCATTTCAGCACTATTTAAACACATGATTAAGATTTCAAAACTATGCACATGGATAAAACCAGGTATCATTAGTCACTTATTAGTCACCTTCAAAACAGGCAGTGTGTTCATTATGTTAATGTCCCTGGAGTGCTTAAAGCAACCTTTTGCATTTTGAGTGGAGGCTCTTGGTAAAAGGTGGCACTTAATAAGAAAGAGCAATTACTATGGCATGTTACTCTCCAGAAGACTGTAGTATGAATTTTAATTTCTTCCTGACCATGTTTCTTCTGAGGCTAATAGAGACATTTTAGTTTAGAAGCAGTAGGAAGTACAGTAAAAGTGAAAAGCAAAATAAGAGACTACACTAATCTTCTCTGAGTTTCAATTAAGGCCCAGCACCTCTGGATTAAAGGCTTATTTTAACAAAAAGCCTTAATTAAGCATACATATGTATAGGATCACCTTAATGAGGTATGACAGAAACAGAAGAGATGGCAAATATTATTTTAAAGAAGCTTATTAACAACTTTAGGAAATTCTGTCAAAGATTCCTAAAAAAAAAAAAAAAGTAATGCAATACTGAAAAGACACAAGAATGTTGAACCAAGTTCAGGCATAAAACAGTGAAACCAAAATAGGTGCAAGAGAGATATTTTTCAGTATCTTTGTATTTAATTGATACATATTAATGATTTTTCTACACATCAGTGGCTTTAATTTTACAAATATTACAGCATTTACATTTCCATTTAAATTTTAGACAGGAGAAAATAATTTTCTACTTTATTTCCTAATTTAAATTTATTGATAAAAATCTTTAGGAGTTTATATTGTAAAATAGCTCTTCATCATCTTACTGAATTGAATTTAGTGTTAGTCTTAACTTGCAAGTTCACTTTAAAAACCGTTATTTTATCTTTTCATTCCTGCCTTTGGAAACAATCAGTGATTTAATGTCATTTTAAAGATAGCCACTTCAGTTGCTTTTTACATCATCCCCTACAGTAAAGAGAGGTATTCTCATTTGCAGATTTGACTTTAAAGTAATTACTTATAATTACAGAGAAGTGCATCCAATGGATTAATCACTCCATTTATATGCTGCTCGAAGGATTACTCTCAGGACAGCTTCACTGCTTTTGCCTGGAAAATGTCAGTTCCACAAGAAAACAAATCTCTCAAGTCCGTGGCAGCTGAGAAGGACTCTGTCAACTATTTAAACCCAAAAAAAATAAATAGCACACCTGGACTTAAGACAGCATCTACGCCTGTTCTCATCAGAAATAAAGGGCCATCAAGTGAGAATAACCAGGAAAATAGCCAGAGAAAGCCTACATTCCTACTGGGGGGCTAGAGGTACCTTCACATGGTTCTGGATCTGCAAGAAACATGTCAGTGCTTATCAAAGACAAGGGAATTGTTTCTGGCTCAGGAAGCCAAGCTCTAAATCCTGGGAAGTCCCTGAAGGAGCTGATGCTGTACCAAACAAAGTCTTACTGTCCCCCTCAGCCATCTGCTTTCCAGAGGTGGACAAAGATTGGACATTAGGGGACAAAGCTCTTTGTGTGATCTGTATGGACACCATTCATCTCATACAATTCACCACCATGTTCTCTTTGTATAGATGATTTTTTTTTATAATGATGACTCTGTTATGGAGTTGCCAAAAATACAGGTCACTCAAAATGGCAGCGAGGAAGCTGATGAAGGATTTGGAACACAGGTCTTATGAGGAGTGACTGAGGGAGCTGGGGATGTTTAGCCTGGAGAAGGGGAGGCTCAAGGGGGGACCTTATCACTCTCTGTGAGTACCTAAAAGGAGGTTGTAGTGAAGTGAGTGTCACTCTCTTCTCCCAAGTAACAAGCTGTAGAATAAGAGGAAACAGCTCCAAGTAGCATCAGGGGAGGTTTAGATTGGATATTGGGAGAAATTTCTTCACTGAAAGGGTTGTCAAGCATTGGAACAGGCTGCCCAGGGAAGTGATGGAATCACCATCCCTAGAAGTGTTAAAAAAATGTGTAGATGTGGCATACACATGTGTAGATGTGGCATATAGGAACACAGGTTAGTGGTGGACTTGGCAGTAATGGCTGGACTCAATGTTAGAAACCTTTTCAAACCTAAAATATTCTATAAATCTATGACATCTACAGGGCCTGCCTCCCATCTTACTGCTGTGTCCCTGACCATGGCAGGAGGTTTGGAATTAGATGATCTTTAAGGCCTCTTCCAACCCAAAGCATCCTCTGATTCTGTGAAACAGAACAGCATTGTAAGCAGTGGCTCTCCTTTGCTACAGACCCTGTTAAAGGGTCTCTCTTCACCCTCTGCCAGACTCCACTACTGAGCCACATTCTCCAGCTGTACCAGTGAGGATGTTGAGATTACAGCAGAGCAGCTCCAGCCCCAAAGGGGCTGCTAACATCATCCTTGCTCTGAGTGTCACAGGTTTCCTTGTCTACAATAAACTAATCTTGCAGAGCAGTTCAATGGGATTTATTGCTATGGCTATATTTTTTCCTCAGTTCAGCTTGAAATTTGTGGTTCCTCCCATTCATTCTGAAGCCATTCTGTGTCCATCTGGGCAGTTGACTGGGGGTGAAACGAGGTTGACAGGGCAGGGACACGGTGGTTTATGGATCCAAAGTTCACTTCTGTGCCTGGAGCAGATGTTAAGTTCTCTCCCATGGGAGCCCTAGGAGAAAAGAAGTGAAATTTTAGTGAATTTCTCATCTGCTATTGATGAGGCTGTTTCTGCTGAGAAACATTACTCAAATTCTTGTACATGTCTGTTTGTAAAGCCACACTATTCCTGTAAAATCAGCTAAAGGCTATCAATGGAACATCATGATTTTACACTGTACGATTTCACATCTCTTAAAGTAAAGCATAAGTGTGGGGAGAAATGAAGGAATAGGTAGATAAGCCCATTCACTGGATAAAAATAATTCATTCTTATTTATATTCAGTATTCTGGAAGGCAAAGTTAGCCTTTGGGATTGTTTTTAATTATATGAAGTTAAAGTGTGTTTGGGCATGCCAAACTTGTATAGTTCTTAATGGGTTTATTGCATATAATAATTATAGGCTCAGTAATTAAAACTTAAAAATTACTGCTATTTTATCTAATATAAATGATAAATCAAAGATTTCATTTGACTTTTTATAAGTTAAAACTAGGATGTGTCAGAAACATCAATCTTAAATTTCACATTATGGTAATTGTATGTTAGGCTTCAGGTACTGGAGTTGTATGTGTATAAAAGCCTTTGACAAGTCAAAAATATTGGCAGAGTGAAGTTTCTTTTATTTTGGTGTAATATGTACAGGTTTAAATAATTTACAACAATAACTATTCAAGATTGGTTGGGAGTTCTTGCTTTTTTAGGGCTGCTCCTCCAAAAGAAAGATGATAAAGTTTCTGCAGTTTGTCTGCAGGATCATATAATACACACTCATCAGCTCCAGGATTTTTCATTAGCAGAACATTTTAAGTCAAGGATAAGGGATACCAAGAACATTTACAAAGCTGTGAACAAAGAAATGGACAGAAGAATAATAGATACTGGACTAAGAAAAAAGAGCACTCACCACAAAACCAAGGAAGATGCAGAAAAGGAGTATGTTCTTGATCCCAGTACTCCACAGCTAAAGTTAGGTAAACCATTCTGATTTGTAATTTTGTTTTTTATTTAAAATAAACTAAAATAAGGACAATAAAGTTTCTGTTCAGTAGGATAACCTAATGCTAAACAGCATAATATCTGCTTTAAAATTTGACAAAATTCAGCACTTTAGTCCATTAGGTAAACAATGGAATTACCATCAGTTGCTTGAATGTTTCTTTTCATATCTGAAGTGTATTTTAAAATATTATTCTTGTAACAGTGAAAGTAAAAAGGAAGATAGTGCATCTTCATGAAGACAAATTCTTCATTAAGAAGCAAGAAGTATTTTTAATGTATATTGACTGTTATAACTTTCTTTACCTTTTATTCTCAAGGAAACAGCAGTGATTTTGATACTGTATTTATTTGGGGGAATATTTTAGCATTAAGATTTTTTTAAAACCTATTTGAAACTGTTTTATTCCTTATTCTGAAAAAAAAAACATTTGCTTGGGCTGCATGAAATGTATTCTTCATTAATATCTACCCACCTTTGCTCCAAGTTAAAAAGGTTTGTTTTTACAATGGTCCTGGGGCTAAACCAGGGAAGAATTAACACCTGTAGTTAAATACCTTTTTCAGTTTAGAAGCAAACATTCAACAAGATAAAAGTCACAGATGTGAGGGCTTGGAATGATGCCTGGTGAGAAAATTCACTTTTAAATAGTATTATAATAGTACAGTTGTGGAGCAGCAACAGATGATATTGCTTAGAAAAACAAAGCCAGGGAGCATCTTAACAGACCAGGAGAGCAAATGTGCTTCCCGTCTCTCAGTTTCAGTCTTGCATTTCCCTTTTCTAAAGGCTTCAACAGTATTTTTGCCATGAATGTCTTCTTGTCTCCATCCTTTCACTTGCCCTGATTAGGCACTACTTACAGGGTCACTTGGCTCCACAATTTTCAATTTTAAACATAATGAACTTTCATCGTCCTTATTAGTTGTTTTATTTATTCTTTTTCGTAGAAACAGCCTTGGGCCCCTCTGAAGATCACGTTTCCTTTGCTGTAGCAGAGTCCCAGCTCTAAAGGGCACCATGTAAATCAGTGACTCTCCCTGCAAGCGGGGACATCTGCCTTTTGGAATCAGCTGAAGGTTAAGAGGGAAACTTCAAACAACAAAGAAGTGAGTGTAACAAGTGACAGGACAATGGTAGTGAAACAAGCTGATTATTACTATGTTTACATGGTTATAGTTCTAAAGATGGGCGGGGTTTTTCTTTGGTTCATTTTGAAGAGAGGATAATGGAGGGGAAAACAGCAAAGAGGTACTGGGGTTAACACAAGTATTGATAAGGGGTGATTATGGAAGCTAAATTTGTGGTGAAAAAATGCAGCCCAAGCGTTAACATGTTCTCTGATTATAAGATGAAGTACTTTCTCTTTAAATCCCAGCACTTACTGAAATGTTCCATATAAATGTTTGTGGGAGTGATTCAAAAGAATGTGTCAAAATATTTTTTTAAATGGAAAATGTTTCTGTGTTTTGTTTTTTAACATTTTCACCTGTAGTCTCACATTATTTTAAAATGCTTGTGCCAAGCTTTCTTAATAAGAATTGTGTGGTTTAAAACTTGCAAATGTGAAACAAGTTTGAAAATGTAATTCAATATAACTTTGTCTTCTTGAGTTTGTGGGTAATCAAACAAAATCACACAGGCCTCTATAATTCCTTTTTTTTCCAATAGGCATTTGAGTCTGAAAATCAAATAATAATAGTTTCAAAGTTAATGCATGCAATCATTTTGATAATCTTCATATTAGGATAAATAACTTTGATGTAAATTGGTGTGTCAATAGATGGGTTGGGTTTGTAAACTTGATGCATAAGGATGAAAATTCTTGAATGTCTTTAGCTGTGGTAAATGTAAGTTTTCATTACATAATTTTTTTAAAATGGTGCTTTGAGAATATCTTCACAGAGCCTTTTGCTTTGACCACACATCCCTTCTTGTGTGTCCTGCTGCCAGTTTTCCTTCACCAATTATGTAGTATAAAATCTTTCCTTCCAAACACCTGTGTAACCTGTCCCTCACAAATATCCCAACTGGTTTGTATCAGTTTGAAGTTAGGTTTTACCACCAATACCTTCCAGTTTCAATAATCCATATGTGAAAATTTTAAATAAGCATTTTTTTTTATACCCCAGGGATATACACAAAGCCATCTCGTTTTCTTCCTTAAAACAAAAACAGTCCCTGACCACTGTAGTTGGAAGGAAATCAAGGGCAGGCACTTTTTATGTTGTGATACTGTCTTTCATGCTATGACTGCTTTGCTTCTTGTTCACTCCCTCTGTACCCAGATTTTCTCATCGTCGCTTGTACATATTGGACTATCAAAATGGGACCTTGTTTCTTGATACCTTCACAAGGGTAACAAAAGTAACAATGTGGGGTTTACGTGAGCAAAACCACATTCAGCGAAATCACTCTTCGCATTGTTCCAAAAGCATAAACTGACCCAGCTTGAAATCTCAAAGCCATCCTGTTGTTCTAAGGTATGGATTCAAACAGATTTACGTTTGAAGGATGTCATGACCTCACAAGGAAGTAGGGTAGGCACATAGTTCAACCAAAGGGAAGAAAGAATTCCTTACAATTTCTTTAGCACCTCACAAAAGTTCTCTAAAAAGATCAAAGGCAGTTTGTGCAAATTTTAGATGATTAATGATATACATCTGTAGATGGATGTCTCAAAAATTAACAAATCCTGTCCTAGAATAATGAGCTACTTGAGTGAGGGGATCACCAAAACCCCATTCTTTGGTTTGCTAGAATTCCTTTTTCCTTCATAACTAGTACAATGGGTTTGGATACACAAGCTGCCTGATGGGGTTTTGAGAGCTTATACAGAACAAATATGTCTCGAACAGTAATGTCAGATTTATGCAAAGGCTCTGGTATGAATGAAAGAGTTTACCCTTTCCTTCCCATTTAGAACTAGAACTCTCATCTAGGTGCCATCAGTTTTCATTGTAATTATTGTATATCCCTCTTCCTTTCTTGTTTTGTCAAATACCATTGAGGCCTCACCATGGACTCATGTTATTGGCTTATTAAACATGCCTTCGACGTTCCTCCGTGGATTTTGGTAAATCCACACAAGCCGCTTCTTCTGGTCTTCAAAAATGGAAAAGCTCTATTCTTTGCTGTACATACCAGCATATTTTTTTACTACTAGGATACTGACTCTGGACTTTATCTGCCATTTGTGGGGGCAGGCAGGACTACTGTAAGTATTTTCACTGATCCCTTCTTTAAGAAGGCAGAGATTTCACATGAACATACAGCAAGGCACCTCACAGTTATCAAGATCAACAAGCTCAGCAATCACAGTGACACTATCCCTGGTGTCTTGTGACAATATCTTTGTTTCTTTATGCTCTTTATTTCTGTTGAATATGTTACAGTTTCATCACAATTCAGTATTTTTCAGCAGCAACAGTTTTTTATTATACCACTTTATTCATTTTTTTTTTAAGAACACATGAATGCAATGCTGGAGAAAACGTCACAAATCAATTTTAACAGATTTTATTTATACTGATGATTTGAAATTATATTATTGTGCATTGTTACATTGTTTAGTTAATCTCAGTTTAATGGCTCTGAAAAGGTAACAAAATAAATCCAAATTACTCACAGATAAAAGTTTACATTAGAAAAATCCTATATAAATCCTGTATGTAAAAGAAGTTCTGATAGTTACTGAATAGTTAATTCATTAATGGTTTGAGTTGGAAGGGACCCTAAAGATCATGGAGTTCCAAGCCCCCTCTCATGGGCAGGGACACCTTCTACTAGATCAGGCTGCTCCAAGTCCCATCCAACCCGGCCTTGAGCACTGCTCAGGGATGGGGCATCCACAGCTTCTCTGGACAACCTGTGCCAGGGCCTCACAGTGAAGAATTTCTTCCCAATATCTAGTTCAAACCTGCCCTCTATCAGTTTGAAGCCATTACCTCTTTGTCTATCACTCCATGCCCTTGTAAAAAGTCCCTTTCCAGCTCTTTTGTAGCCCTTTTAGATACTTACTATGAAGAAGTATGTTGCCTATGATACTTACTATGAAGAAGTGGTTTGTCTGATGTTATTTTGGACATGACATGGCAGAGGAAGGTTGGTAGTACTTGTTCACTTCTTAAGTTATGATAGTAGAGAAGGTAATCAGCCTTTTTATCTGTTCTTTCAAAGCAAGTATAGACTGTTTTCTGCTTCATTTAAACTGCTGTTAGATACAATCCTGGCCTTCATTCATCAGAATGCTAAACACTCGCTATTTATACAATCTAAGATATATTTTGTTTTCTCACAAATTTCATTAATTGCAGTTTAGTGCAATAGTTATTTCTATTTGGAACATGGAAATAGATGTAGATTTAATACCAGTCAGTCACTTCCTTAGGTTACCTGATGAAATTCCTGCATTTTACCTTGATAGCTTTGTTCAGTGTATGTGTGTAGCATAAGCATAAATACATCATGCTTTATTACATTCTATCATCTTGAAAATATTAAGCAAAAGGGACAAGTGACTGATTGAAGAGAGTACTGCTTCAGAGAGGTGATGATGGCAATTAGAAGAATTATCCCAACTGCTTGCAAGTTTCTTTCTGCAGTGCATATTTAGGGTAGTTTTTTCTGCCTGTTCTCCCTTTTAATTTTTCAAGAAGACTTTTTACAGCCAAGTCTGTGATGTGAATCAAAGCCTTTCAATAACCTTAGATGCAGAGGTTCTGCTTCCTTTTACATCAACTGAAAGTGTATCACTGTCCAAAGACAGGTAGGACACATCTGGCAAAAGACCATTCTGCCAATTTTTGGCTACCCTGAAAGTCTAAAGTTTGACAAGAGAGAGCAAAAGACAACACTCATTAAAAAGGTTACTTCAGATTTGGCACAAAAAAGGGAAATGCCTCTGGAATTCTTTTTGTCCTCGGTGTTTCGTTAGCTTTCCTCCCTCAAGGGAAAAAGCCACTGTATCTGAAAGCTTTGCCTTCAGCTGGCTGCTGGCCATTAATCCTCTTGTGTTTGCCAGCTCAGTAGTGCTCACTACTTGTTCACTCTTTTCCCAGCTTTTCCTTCCTCTAAGAGCCAACTGCCTTTTTTGTCCAACTCTATGTCTTTTGTCGGGATGTAGACCATCAGCCTTTGGTGGGAATTTAGGTCAGATAAAGGTGAAGTTTTCCTGTAGCCTGTGAACATAGTTTCACTTTTGGTATTGTTTTGGGGGTTTTTTGGTATGCGTGAAATGCTGCAATTGATGTGCATCACTTCTCTAAATTTAACATCTCTGTTGGGAAAAGGGACGAAAATTAATCAGCTTTCATTTTAAGTGTTTCTTTTATAATCTTTCCTCCAGTCAGTAGCATTTGGCATTTCTTGCTTTCTGCCACTCCATGCATTGTTAACACAAAATTCACAGATTCACAAACTAATTTTATTTTCACTGGAAAGACTGCACTAGTAACAGACAGAAACTGATGACCTTTCAGGCAGCCAGATTTTTTCTTGTCAGCATTTTTTACTTTTCAGCTTTTAGAATGCTTTATAGTCAGGTTTGGTTCTTGGGGTTATTTTTCTCCTTTGAAAAAACAGGTGCTGCATTCATGTTCCCATGTACTCCATAAAGTGAGTACATTTTCATATAACTATTCAAGCACATAATAGATGAGTATTTTAATTAAACCACTTAAGTGAATATCTTAATGAATTAAATGTAATCATCTTGAAAAGTAATTTTGATTCCAGATTTTTATGATAAGAAATATAATTTAAGGCTATTTTATGATGAAGCACTTTATTCTTTTTTATTACCTTTTTAAAAACTGTATGGGAAAGTGTAGTTCCTAACTGAGCTATACACGGATATACTAAGCTGGAATACTTTAATTCATGAAATTTTGTGCGAACATATGGAGATTTACAAAATTCTCTTAACACTTTAATTTTAAAAATATGCATCTTGTAGAGTGTTCATAGATTGATGAATAAACTGTTTTTACATTCTGTAATCTATCCTGTTTAATCTGTGCCAATGAGATTAAATATAAGTAATTGTAATTATTTTTTCAGGCATGCCTGAAAACCTTTGGAAAATTTACAGGCAAAAAGTTGTCCTATGTGTAGAAAAGAGCAGTATCAGACCAGAGTGATACATGATGTGGCATGTTTGTGGCAAGTGTGCTATTAGGTAAGCCTTACTTCGGCTACCCATGTGTCACTGGACATTATCAGTTGCTAAATAATATTCCAAAAGTGTTAAACATTTGATAATAAACAGAATGAATGCACTACAAAAGTAAAAGTTTGAAAAAAATGCATAAAATTATTGTTTCATATAAATAGGTATATTAGCTCGAGTCTCCTCCTCTTGAACAAAATTTCATCTTAGGGAATTCAAGCTTTCTGGAGGGATATATTGTTAGAAAAACGTAGAAAGACTTGAGAGAAACAGTGCCTCCTAAGGATAGTAAATTAAGAAAGCAATTATTTGAGAAAAAGTTATGTTGCATTAGCTTCTTTGGTCTGCTTCTTTTGTGTGATTCACCTTCCTTAAATCAGAACTCCTAAATATCAGCTCTCTTCTTTTTCATTTATTTCTTCTTATTCATATCAAACAGGCAGCACGGGAGTCACTCAGTTTTTTTGTTAGTCTGTTCATTCCACCTAGAAGGAAAATGATTTAAATATTTAATTTTAAGGCCTGCCAGTTGCCTGGCAATATTAGGCCCAACAATATTGGGCTTTTTGTGAGGCTCTATGTTTTCCCTTCTCTTTTTGATAAATCTCAGTGATCTATTTTCCTATAGAATTGTATGAAGGGGGTACAGTAAGGGGAGAAACAAATAAATCCATAAACAATCATTACTTCCTTTCACTGTCACCGTTCTCTCACTGAACACTGAACCAGGTAGTTCCATTCCATTGCTTTGCCCCTCTCTAACTTCTGCTCAGAGAGCAAAAAGAGAGCTTTAGAGGTACAGACCCCCTCTTGCTATATTCCGTGTTTCTCTATGACAGTGAGATTGTACCCTAGAAGTGTCCTGGCAGAGTGGTGGAACAAAACTGGTGCTGCTGCTCTGCTCGTGGGCTGACAGTGGCAGGAGGGAGAGGAAACACTGCTCTCAGCTTTAAGGCTGAGACAGACTGCTGGTTGCTGTGCTGCCTCTGGAATCAATGCAAAGTCCTTCCCTGTAGCAGAGCAAATGAATATGGGGGTGACTGAAAAAAGCTGATGTTAAAAGTGTTCAAGCACTTAAGTTTAGAATAAATGAATCCATTGGTGGGTCATGATTGTCCTCAAGAAGCGTAATGAGAACAAACAAGAGCAACACTTCGATTTTTCTGCATGAAGGACCAGGGAAGCAGTCATATGCTTCTTTCCCAATAAGGCTGTCAGTTTTCCATGGTGAGCTATGAACAGGGCATCACTAATGGGAAGTTGAAGAAGGTTCCTAAAGTATCATCTGTTAAAATTTCTGCCACAGAACTTCAGATGGCTACAGCAGCAACCTACCAAGCTACCTATGGTGGGCTGGCTTTTAGGGTCCCTGGTTTTTGTACCTAATTTAGGGAGAAAAAGCTTGATAGACTGCTCACACTTCATCACTCAATTATAAAAGCCGTGGGCAGGTCTTCATTCAGTATAGTTTCCATATATAGTCCACAGTAGTAGGAAATCATTTTCATATGCAACACTTCAGGATTTTGCAGGGAACAAAACAGGCACCACTTTTTCACCTTCTATTAAGAATACATTTATAGTCTTCTCATAACAATTAGCCAGGTCTAAATGAATTCAGTACTTGTTGTGATTAAAGGATATGTACTTATTTTTCTTAGTGGCTTTCAAGTGGCAACAGGAGATGAGTTTTCCTGCCATTCACTCTTATACTTTAAAGTGTTAGTTAATGAAAACACTACAGAAAGTTTTCACAAGGAGCTATCCGTTTCCAGATGTTAAAAAGCTTTCCTAAAATAAAACTTGCTTCTCAAAATTGTGCTGTGCTTTTAAAATGTCACTCCCTAAACATTAGCATAACCAAAAGGGGTCACAACTGGGAAAAAAACTAATTTATTTTTTAATAACCCTGCCGCCTCTGGAAGGATCACAAAGGTTAAATGTCAAGTCTCATACACTTAAATAAATATCACAAAATAAAAAACAAGGTCTGAAATATTAGTACTGGGAAGGACACATATTACTTTTTTCAGGGTGCTACAGTAGCCCTTATTACACCTGCCATTAAAATTTTTAATAATCTAGATCAAAGTAGATAAGAAAGGTCACTGAAACCAAAGTAGGCTACTTTTTAGCACTACTATACAGAGAGAGCAGGGTGTTGCTTCAGCATGTTAGGTAGTGAATTTCTTTGATCCTATCTATAAATGTCACTCCGTATGTCATTTAATTGTGGTATAGTCTTTTATTGGTGCAATTAAATCTTTTCAAATGCATTACATTATCTCCAGCTCCGCTAAAAATCTTGCCATTGTTTAGGAAGCGAGGTAAGTCATTGTGAAATGATGCAGTTGACTTTAGTTTCTTCCTTCCCCCTCCACGATTTCTCCCAACGATTTTAATTTAAATCTCACCAAACAGTATAATGGTCCTGGAATTTGTTTAGTCGTTTGACTTCCTTTATCACACGGAGATGGTAAACATTCTGTTGCTAACTTGAAGTGGCTCCAAGCACCAAAACTAGGAGGATATTAAACCAGTAAAAGCTTATCAACTGATTCATTGATATGCTGTAAATTCCAGCCTTTTCATTTTACTTTTGAGGGTTGCCATAAGTCAACACATTAGTAAGCAATTTGCTGACATTGGATCACTTAAAAAGGCTTCCCTGTGGACAAAGTTCACCTCGGCACTTTGTTTCACCGTTTCATTTTATCATAGTCTTGTGCTGCTGTACAGATGACTGATGCAGTTTTGCATACCAATGGGGTATTTCACATAGTCTGTTTGTGCCATTCTAGTCGAGCTTTCAGAAGTCACAGACTTAAAACGTAGAGCCATGGTGTTTTCAGAAATAAATGCAATCAATCAGTTTCAGTTGTTTTAGGGGGGAAAAAAAGGTTATTCAGTATTATGCATTAAAACACAGCAGGATTTAATATTTAAATCCCAGAACATGTTAACACTAACAAATGATACAAAATTCTGATTTCCTTTCTGTTTGCATTGATAGTTTAGGCTGATTTGCCAGCTAGCAAAACTTCTGGATCACATTTCAGCTACCTCTTTTTTTTCTTCCCAATCTTAGACTTTATTTGCTGATTGATGGATGTGAGTTGGGTCAGGTCATAGTGCAGAAAATACAGGAGTAGCTCAGAGGAGATAGTATCTTAGCAGCAGAGGAACTTCACGGATCCCTGTCTCAGGCAGGAGAAGAGTTTTGCACTTTATTTTTACAGTTCCAGCTCAAGGAGGCTCAGGAAAGGACTTTCAGGATCACTTAGTGAAACAGGGAAGTGCAAGCTTGGGGAAGAAACAGAGGGCTTCTCACTGCTAAGGGAAGAAGGAACAAGCAGCAGAGGCACAGAGAGGGGCTTAATGTGTCCCAGCCCACGCTGCCCCTGCCCTCAGCTCTCCCTGGTGGTCAGTTGTCCTCAGCAGACAGTCTAGTCCGAGTTCACAGACAGAGGGCAGGTCCTGGAACTGACCCCATACTGCCTGTGTTCCCTCCCATTCACAGAAATAGATCCTGGATAAGGGCTGAGTTACAGCATGGTTGCTATTCTTCAAATTTTGTGTCCTGAGTAGCTTTTGGAAAGCACCATCGTGGCTGCTCTACCTTTCTGTTACATCCCTCCTCGCTTGCTTACAAACACAGGCCAGGTCTGTTCAAGTTTGATACCCATATAAATGAAGACCAAGCAAAAATCAGGAGCAAAATTGTTTTCAAATGGATCAACCTTTACTTGATACTGAACAGAAACCATAAGCTATATAAGGGTTAGGTGTCATCTTACCTTGTATTTCCTGAATTTAGGCTTTAAAATTAAATCAGTAAGAGCAGTTAAATTACAATGTGGAGTAGATTCAGTTCTAGTAACCAGGTAACAACAGTTCAGGTACAACTTACTAGGGTTGTTGTTGCTTAATTAAATACATAATCACTTTAGAATATTAAAGACATAACCTATTTCATGAGTCCTTCAGGGAGCACACGGTGTCATCGTTCAGGATTGTTTGGAGACCACAAAATGTAAATATTGAAGGAGGCCTGTGGTGGGATCCCTGTTTATTTGTTTTCTGTTTTGCACATACCACCCAAGGTCAGTGTGGGAGACACTCAGATTTGTCTTTCCTGTCAGTGAGCAGTCGTGAGGGGAAGCACAGGGTTCCCCATCTGCTCTTTGCTACACATAGAATTCTCTTACAGACAACACAAGGGGCTGCTGCTTCTCTCATCACATTGGGATTTAAATACACTATACAAGGGCTCTCGGGGGAAGTTTTCTGTTATGTTAAATTGTTAAATCAGCATTAACTAACAAGGAAACTAAATCCAGTTTGTACTGACACACGGATACATTCTTTCAATAAACTGTTGTGTTAGGGATCATTTGGAAATACATTAAGTTATAACAGTTCAAAATTAGAAGTGAATCAGACCACAGAATCAAAAGAACACATGGGATCAAATCTGATATTTAGCAGAAAATTCAGGAAATTCGAAGTTTATACGAAATCTTAGAAGGTTAAGTGGGCTCTTCACATACTTTCTGTGGCCTTTTTTTAGGATTTGGACTGTTGATTCTCTGGGTCTAGAAAAGTTGACTTCGAATATTCTGATATATGCTATGAAGGGTCACCTTAGCAGTAGGAAGGAAGCATTAAAAAAAAAATTAAACAATAGGAAAGTGTTCACGTGCCATCAGGCTGCCTGACCTTAAGCTCAACCCTTCTACCACCTCACCTTCCACTTCCCAACCCACACTCCCTGAAAAAAAATGGCTCCTTGTTTTCCTATCAGGTTTTCACTCACAGGAAATGCATGGAGAAAAAGGCTCATGTTGTATGGTCATGGTACAGGTGTTAAAATGGTCCTTAAAACTGCTCTATTTAGGAGAAGTGACACAAAGGCAAGCCTAAGACTTGTGTGAGTCCCTGCAGAGATTTGATACTGTGGTGCATTGGGAGAAACCCACAGCAAGCTGGGATTGCACTCAAGGAGATGATTAAGTTCAAGAAAAGCATTCACTGCTTTTAGGTATTTATTTTGCTGAGCACAGGTGGGAGCATCTTCAGATACGAAGACAAGACTTCTCAGGCCTATATGCAATATGTGGAAATATATTTAAGGCAGTAGGTCATAAAAATCCATATTGAGGACAACAACTGAGATGCCTCTTCTCTCACTGCTTGTCAAAAAAAAAAAAAAAAGAAGAAAGAATTACTGAAGACATAATGTACTGCCAAGGCTCAAGCTTGAAGGTTTCTGTGTCCACTTGAGCTCTGCATTTCTAGGCACGCATGAGCATCCCCACAGGCAGCAAAAAGGATGACGAGAAGCCTGCATAAAACAGTTGAGGGAATTGGGGGTCATTTCCTATATAGA